ATCAACTTTTTTTTGACTTCGTTCTCTTTTTTTTCCTTTTCTTCATTTTCTACCTTACTTATTTAAATACAAGGTATTTATGAAAATAGATCGCACAATTATATCTGATAATAACAATTAATTCCAAGTTAATAGTGTTTAGCGCGATGCTGAGACGACGGTTTTGGCATACCGGTAAGCGAGCTATTACGGTCTTCTGTCCAAATATGAAAGCTATGTGTCCAGGCGGCAAAACAAAATGAGCTGTTTAACTAGCCTGAGTAGCGGAAATAGCAGATCATAGACGAACAATGTGGATCGCTAGTCAGTTCCAAGAATACGCAAAATGCCCAGGCAATCGGTGCGAAGAATATATTTTAGCATTGGCGAAACCAGCGGGTGGGGGGGGCGGGGGGGGGGAAGGCAAGGGGCCTAGGCAGCAGTTGTTTTACTGTACAAAAGTCTGCACGGTACTTCCTGTCGCCAATCCCCTCCCCCTTCTCCCCCGCTCTAAAAGACTGCGCTGGATCCGCCTGTGTATTTTAGTAGTCTTATTGAGAAAGCTTTCACACGTCAGGCTCAATTAAGTACTTCATTTCTGAGTTGCATACCTGTACTTGGTACCTAGCAATATTTAATGCATGTACATCATTTTTTCGAAGGTGGTTTGAGTGTTTCTTGTTTATCTTACTAGGTTGGACATCATGCAATTTTAAACAGCCACCGTGAAGGCCGCCGGTGAGATGCAGGAGGTTTAGGCTTACTTATAAATGAATTAAATCGAAAAGATTGACGAATCACCTGTACAACAGCATTACAAAAGAGCAGCGATGAATGAAAGTCGAGAAGACTCGGATAACATTCCACATCTTCCGCATTTATTTTATGCCAATCATCGCTCACGTATAACATCGAGCCAATTGAACGTGACAACTGTGAGAAGCAACCCGAAAGACCCGTCGCAACTACCGGACAAAAATTCGACTGCAAAATGCGAACAAATTGAGCTTTACTTTTCTAACAGTCTCCGCCAAAACAATTATAAATACTACGAGGTCCAGTCGTGGTGCTGAACAGTTTGCAGACGGTGGGATGCACAAATGCAAGAAAAATTAATGAATGTTGGTGGTGAGAATGAGATAAGACGTTTTGGCCCATTAAGTCATATACGTCTTAACTCAACACTGCGACTGGACTTCGTCAGTATGACGATCGCAGTGCGTAAGAAAGGAGAAGGAAGGAAGAGAAGAGAGTAAAGAAAGCCGGATAAGTTAAGAAATATACGACTTAATGAACCGAAACTTCTTAACTCATTCATACTTAGTTCTTTCACACTAACTCCATTTCTACGCCCATCCACGAATAGTTCGCTCCATGCCTACCTTCCCTAAGCTCCTAACATTACTTGCATGCTACAGTCAGCTTAGGAGGGAGCCCCAGCAGGAATCATACAGCTTATGCTCCCAAAAAAGTCGACTTGCGATTTTGACACAAACACCTGACGAGGCTACCTACGGCTTCAACCTCAGTGGTAATACCGTTTTTCACGAAAACGAACGAAAGAACAATACAGATCTGTGTTTTCCCAGGGAAAGTGAACCTAAGGGAAGCATTACTCGGTGCTACAACAAACTCGTCGGAACTCATAACACAGCTAATTTATCCCTGATTTATTGTTGCTATTGTTCCGAAATTGATGAACCTTGATTGCGATGAATGCAGCAATGTGCTTTAGCCGTCGTGAAACGGAAAGTATGAGAAGTAAGGCATCGCGTGCTAGCTGCCCAACATCACCCGAATCGTAGAGATATGGAATGAGAAGACTGAACACCAAAAACTGCTCATCGCAATCACTGCCAAAATTGAAAAAGAAATGTAACAGAGTCGCATCTTCCGCCAATTTTGTGCATATCTGAAAAACAAAAGACCGGCATCCAAGAAAAAAAGATCCAAGAAAATAGGCTTTTAATTTTTAAAGAATTTTTAATTTTTTTTAAATTCTTTATTTTAAACTAAATTTAAATTTAAATTCAATTTAGTTAATTAAATTAAATCTAAATTAAAAAATTAAAAAATTTTAAAGAATTTAAAGAAAAACTTTTAAAGAAAAATTATTTTCTAGTCGATAAGATACGCAGGGCAAGCAGTTAATTCGAGATTAATCAGTGACAAGTGGTTCTGTCAAGAACTGAAAAGACAATTATTCGCAGAACGGGGACGAACATCACAGTCGCCAGCAGGCTAGCCACTTGCAAATGTAGTGTCGTGTAAACGTAACTGGAAAAGTAGCTAGCTACACAGTGCAAATTGCAGTTGACTCAAGTAATTCTCATTTGAACTGAGTTATGTGACTGCAAGCAGCAAAAAGGAAAATCACTGGCGACGTGCACTGGGCGGGTCCGTGCGATCATGCATTTTTACAGTATTTCGTGCTGTAATAGGATCACTCGAAATTCCGCTAACTAGAAACCTCTTGTACGTACTGGTCATCGAATTTCGGGAAGTTAATTACTCACGCTACGCTTGGACAGGGAATATTCACTTGAAATCCCAGATTCTCAGCACTCTCAGTTCCCGAGTTACCCAAATTCCAGCAGAAAATTTCACGGAGCCGTAAGTGGAACCACGCGTGACTGGGAGCTGGATTTGATAAATTTAAGTCGTAGATGAGCTAGGAACATTTCCTGAAAGTTCAGCCTCCCAGCTTCCCTGGTTCCGGAGTTAACCATTTTCCCGCTAAAAATTTTGACGGGGCCATACGTGGCAACCACGCATAACGGGGGGCTGAATTTGATAAATCTAAGTTGTAGATGAATTGTGAACATTTCCTGAAAGTTTCAGCCTACCAGCTTTCTTGGTTCCCGAGCTAGTGATTTTCGCGCCAGGAACCCTCACGGGGTCGTACGCGGGAAACGCGCACATTCTGGGGGCTGAATTAAAATCTTTGAGTTCTATATGGACGGGGGACATAATCGCAAAATTTCATCTTTCTAGCTTTTCTTGTTCCCAAGTTAGCAATTTTCCCACCAAAACTTCGAGGCGCTCGTACGCGGGGCCTAGACGTGCCTGAGGATTGGTGCCGCGGTCCCGGAGTGTCACTTGGCGGGGAACCCATTCGCAAAATTTTGACGCCGGAGCTTGCTTGGGTGCCGAGTTGAAATACCCGGACGGACAGACAGGCAGACACACATGCACACACACACCGGGATCGTCGCCATATGCGTTCTCGCATTTGCATATATGCAAAAACGCACAAAAAACTGAGTTACGCGACTATATATATAAATATGTTTTTTTTTTTGAAATAAAAAAATATGATTTCGAAAAAAAATATAATTCTAGAAAAAAAATATAAAAAATATAATTCCATTCCGAAAAAAAAGCATAATTCTTGTTAGCACCTATTACTAATTGAACATATTTATGCCACCTTTTCGGAGTTACACAAGTGGTTAATTATTTCTTCGCATGTACCATTAACTAAGTAAAAAAATAAAGAGAAGTGGTCAATCACTCCACCGATTCACCCAAGTGGTCTCATGCTAGGCATGAATGAATAAAAGAGACGACTGGTTCTCACTGGTTTGATAAAATTCCGGAAAGAGAAAAAGTAAGAAATCGTGCAGACCTGATTGAGAAGTAGGACAAAGTGTTTGTCTGTATTGGAAGGCATGAAATTCCGTTGCTCGGAGCTCCTTCGACACCATTCCAGCAATTTGAGAAGCGGCAGAAGTATCGGTTTGTGCACCAACAAGCAGTGATTTTGTGTGTGACTTTCACCAACAATTATTTCATATAATCGAATTAAATTAACCTGCAAAATTGAATAAATACAAAAAAAACTAATCAATCTCCCCTCTCTCAACTCACACCCTCCTGAGGGATATAAATGTCCGAAATGCTCTTCGAACGGAGCAGTGGGGTCCGAATCCCACACCCCGTTACAACAGACAGTGCCACTCCAAAGTAAGCCAAACGGAGGCATGTGCTAACCAGCAACCACTCGCAAGCAAGGCTGTCGATGTGCTTCCCTTCTGAGAATCAAAAAGTCTTAGTAGCTTTAAGTTTGTTTTTAAAGCAAGCTGATGCAGGCCAGGATTTCCCGATTAGAGCAAAACAAGTAATTAAGTAGGGTCGAAAATAGCCGCTGTAAGCAGTCCAGTCCCAAACAATTTCCATTTCTGCCCCAGAGATCAACATCGTTCCACACCACCCTCCACGTAAAGAACTACCCCTTCATTTATGATCTGACTT